ACGGCGCTTCGCGCTTGGTGATGTGAGAGCCTGGTCCGGTGAGAACCCGGCGTGTTCTGTCCCGGCTTTGTAGGGATGCGAGGTCAATGGTCTAATGACTGCGGCATGCACGGCTATGAGCTTGCTTGCGAATGAAGAGATGCCGCTCTCTCTTTCGTAGATCAGGGTGACCAACTCCTTCGCTTCTACCGCCCACAAGAGCGAGTATTGGGAGGCAATGGCAACGAAACCCATCCCGAAAACGACGCGGAAAGGGCTCGGGCACGAGAACGATTCTCGATAGAAGAGCAGAACGGACGGTCACAATGACAGAATCACACACAACCGAGACCTCGTGGACGCAAGCGCACATAAGCACCACCACGCCCCCCGTGAAAAACGCCTCTGCTTCGAAATCATGCGGTGTGGTTGGGGTCTCAGACATCTCATGCTACACCAACAACGGGGTCTCTCCTTCCTTCCTGCCTGCCTCTCTCGATCCTCTCTGTTTTGTCCAATCGCAACAGGTCTCCCCTACTGGCGACAACATCAGGCCTTGCCGGTGTTTTTATCGCGGGATCGGCGTTGATACACATGGTCATGTTTCCTGGGGCTCGTTCGTTGTCCGTTCTGAGGATCATCATCATTCCCTTGACGGTATTTTGCTTCGTGGGGGTGTACATAGTGCGGGGCCTCCGTGTTGTCATCATGTACGCCCCTTCTCATCGGAAGCGCTGGGGAAAGTACCTCAAGAAAGAAAGGACCACCGTCAAGTCCATGCTGGCGGCTTTCGCAGCTGTAGAGGTCATCGCATGGTCTGCCGTACTACCTGTCGGACTGGAAAGGTGAAATGTGGTCATTTCCCCAACTGGTCAGGACCTCGAATGCCATTGCAACATTCTCTTCTATCTTGCCACCTCGGCACTCTTCGCATCTTGTTGCTCGTCCGCCAAACTGACGGCAGATGGCCTTGATGTCCACCATTCCAGGTCCCGTTGCCGAAAGTTTAGTGTTGGCTAATTGCTGTCATCCATCGGGGCGTGGAGAGGGGGAGGGGGTAGGGGGGTGTATTCATAGTCATGCATAGCGTAGTCCTCGTGAGGAGGGAGGAGGGAGTACACGATCCAGTGTTTACGATGAGTGCATAGACAAGATACACCCTCGAAAGGCTACTGCTTCTTGTTTAGAAGAAGGCAGAGGTCTCTACACCCTTGTACCGGATGAAATAGTATCAAGCACGGATTGGATGAAGTTTTCCACTCGCTGCAACGTGCACTTGCTCCACTGAAGAAGGCATCACACTTACGCAGCGTTTGTGGTGTGCGAATAGACGTCGGGGCAGATCCTCCTGTCGACCGTCTGGACCATGGCCTTGCCCGCGGCCCTTGTGGAGCTACTTTGACAAGTGGACTCAATCTATCTTTCGCCCGCTGCCATGTTTTCACATACGTACAAAGCAGTGATGCTGGCATTTCTGGGCTCCATCCCGGGCGGGATTCTAGACTTGTACATGATCCTGTTCTTCACGGTCAGATTCCATTTCGTCGTGTGGATAACGTGAGTGCTCTACGGTCGTCATGCGCCACTCATTTTGGTTGCACAACAAAGTATTCACATGCTCCTATCACCTCCAAGCACAAAACAAGAGAGGTTTTGGTGGATGCCCAGTTTCCTATGGACGTCGTGTCAAAGGCAATCAGAGTGAGTGCTCTAGAACGCAGCTCCCGCTGGACACTCTAGGAAGTTTCCCACTGAGGATCACCCATTTTTGTCTACTTGAAGACTAGTCAAGGAAAATAAACGTTTCGTGTACAAACGCTTTGTGTCCAACTACGATGCGGGAATCGCTCTGAGATGCGTGCACAACGTACCCTGATGTTTTTCGAGCTAGAGTCTTCCCTTCGGGTTGTGTGCGTATTGACACCGTCACACGTGAGGAGGTCTTTGGTCACTCCCCTACATCCCACTATTTTCGTAGGATCATCGCTCCCCCGTATTTTCGCAGACAGGTGCCACACGTACGCTTGAACCACTGTCAATACCCCTTAGCTCGGCACATGCCAGCGTGGACCAGGATGATTACAGAGAGTAGTGCTGAGGCTGCGTGCAACGTTGACGCACACTCGAAGGTCTAGGCACTACAACTCGCTCGGGATCCCAAAACCTAAAACAACGCGAATTGCTGCTTTCTCTCCCATGCTTCCTGTCCGACTACGTCATGACCCCTTGATGGAACAGAAACATCCAGCCTGCGAGAGAAATACTGAGAAAGTACTCAGCTATCCCCCAAGACAGGCGCATCTTGGCCAACCTCTTCCCGTTCGTACCGTCGCTGAGGATGGGCGGCAGCACCGTGGCGGTCGAAATAGCTGAACACAGAATCTCGGTCCCGCCAGATTCCGTCGAACGCAGCGTCAAGCTGGACGGCACGTTGGAGCAGATCCTGGTTTCCCCCGCTCTCCTGGAGGCATTCGAACAGTATTGCTGTAGGGCGCTTTGCAGCGAGGTGAGGTTCNGACGACGTCTCTTGAGGGAAGAACGGAGGATGCTGGCTCTCTCTCATTCTGACTGGTGTAGAAAGGGGCTTGGATCGTCCATTCCATTCAACGAAGGCGCTTTGCCACATCGCCCACGGCAGCCGGCGTACATGAATGGAGTGCGTGCGTCTGTTTGGAGAGCCAGCTCCGACTGAACTAGGCCTGTCCTCCATCGGCCGTTTTGCTTGTATGACGGAGAATAAGAAGGTGGAATTACTTGAAATTAGTATAGAAATAAAGTTTGTGTCTAAATCGAAAATAAAACGGCCGATGGAGGACAGGCCTAGTTCAGTCGGAGCTGGCTCTCCAAACAGACGCACGCACTCCATTCATGTACGCCGGCTGCCGTGGGCGATGTGGCAAAGCGCCTTCGTTGAATGGAATGGACGATCCAAGCCCCTTTCTACACCAGTCAGAATGAGAGAGAGCCAGCATCCTCCGTTCTTCCCTCAAGAGACGTCGTCGCCAGGCAATTTAGACGAGATGAATTCCAGACTTGAGGCACGAGCAACAGACATGCGATGGCTTGTAAGGGATAGAATGATAACTCTCTCCTCGGGGCATACTCATGTCAAATATGAGCAGTTGGGTCGACACAGATCCAGCACGGGACTAGAGTAGTCAACCTACCAGAGAGCTGGAGAGCTGGAGAGATGGAGGGAGGGAAGGGGGAAGGGGGGAAGAGAAGGAGGGAGGAAAGGGGGCATCCGCCTGTTTGTGTCATTCAGGAGAAAGAGACGTGCCGTTCTACATGACATTTGGTCGTTGCCCTGCCTCCCCATACTGACGTTGCCGTGCGAATACTCCCCCTCCACCCCACCTCTCTGTCAATCTTCCGCCCCCGTTTCAATGATTGTTCGCGATGGCCGTACTGTATCTTTCGCATATGAAGTCAATCCTGTTCTTGAAAGCGGCTTGGGCCTTCAGAGACGCTGTCTATTGGACGACCGCCAACGGAGACACAAACTTCGCACAATTCATGGAGATCTTCGAAATGTACATCGTCGACGGGTCTCCCTTTGCAACATCGACACAAAGACAAAGGCCAGCATCGTGAGAAGAATCAACCTGGAGGTCTTCAAACAGCTTCCTCAGGTACGTACACGATGCCCTCGGTGGGGAATCCTTTACTTGGTCCACATGTCGGAAGA